CTTTAACAAATTCAATCCCCTGTATTAATTTTATAAAGGACAATAATATATTTATAATTTCACCAATCTCCTGATACAGATTTCACTTGGACCAAGAGAGGCGAGTGAAAAATGGTATTTTTTAGCCATACTGAAGGTGTGCGTAATTGTTGTAGTTCCAATTATCAAAATCATTACTAACGAAACGAATTTCCACAAAATTGTTACTTTAAGGAATAACAATTTTTGTCTTAGTAGTGAAGGGTGCGCCCATTCTCAATTAACTATAAAAAATTCAGTTCAACTATTGTGTTTAGTTTTGGTTCATTATTGAGATAATACTAGCCAGTGTGAGGCCAGTAGGATTAAAATCCAAATCGGATTTAAATCCTACAATAGTTTGGTTGTTTTACTGGTTTCATTTGTTGCCTAATATAACTATCCTAGGATGCACCAGTTGATCCTGAAACCATATTCCACCCAAACTTCGGACTTCATTATTTTATTTATTTATTTTTACCTTTAGTTTTGGGTGGGCGGGGTTTCAGCCTAGCCTAGTCTACAAAACCCAACGATTCGAACTAGGGATCCTTAGTACTACAGCCGAGCTTAAATTCTGTGAGCAACTTAAAGAATTGTTCCATTATGAGCTAGCCGCTGTTCGATGTGGTCGGAATGAGGAAGACCCTCAAGTCGTTGCTATATGACTTCTTTACACCACCCCATGATGTATACTTAGAAGGATCAGCTTTTGTCATCGATGGTGGATTTCTTTTCCACCGGGTTATGTGTGTAAATATTCCAAGTAATTATCACCAAATACGTGGACTACCTAAAAAGGTACTACAACGCAAAGTGCGACAAGTGTGGTGTTTGATGGTTAGTCGGAAGACCTGCACACCAAGAACATCAAATATGCAGAACACCTCCGCCGAAGCAAAAGTTGCTCATGAGGTCATCTTTACTATAAGATCATGATAACGAATTCCTCTCCAATGACAAAAGTAAAGTACGTCTTATTGGTTTACTTAGTGAGAAGCTTGAAGGTGAAGGCCATGGATATTTGTAAATATATATAATGGGTTGGGTTGCTAGAGTTAACCCTTGGCTGGCCTACTTAAAAATAAATTTTTAAAAAAGTTATGGTAGCATCATGCTCAATGCCCTAGCCACACCATCAATTAACCTTCTGGTTGGCCTGTTGAGGGCCCAGAACAAGAGAGGGATAATAAATAAATAAATCAGTAAACATATATACTCAGTGACATGGAAATTGCAACACCAAGAAGGAGTTTGAATTTTTTGACCAAACTTGGCAGAAACGTTTAACTACTAAAAGGTAACAATTGATTAAATTTTCATTCATATGGATCAAGTGGTAATGGCTTATTTGACAGTTCTTTAATTTTTTTCTAGTATTCTTATATCGTGTACGTTTTGCGAGATTTTGTTCAGTTCTTATTGTTTTCGCTTTTAATCGTTTCTTTTGAGGCTGTGATCATGCCTAGATACGCCAAAGTGGAAATTACCGCGAATTAAGAGTAGTTGACAGGTGTCGTATTGTTGGTTTGGGCGGAGGTGGTTATTCGTTCACAAAAATTGCAAGTCACCTTAACCGAAGTCAATCCACCATGATTCGTTGCAATCGGGCATGGATTGGGGAAGAGGCAGGATCGTCGTAGAGAGGAAACGGAGGGGGCAGGAAAGGGTGGGGGGCGAAAAAGAACAATTGAAGTGCGGGATCGCCATCTTTGACTTATGGTAACAAAAAACCGATTCTGTAGTACCAGGTCAATTGCCGATCAATTGTTAGCTAACGAAGGTCGTCCTGTAACACTTCGAACGGTTTACCGCAGAATCAGAGCTTACGACTTGCAATCCTATCGGCCACATCTTTTGTTACCATTAACAGCTCAACACCGCTGGCAGCGTTTCGAGTGGTGTAGGTTGCGACTGCACTGGAACCTAGAGTAGCATTGGGCGGTGTTCAGTGATGAATCCCGATTTTGTTTGGGTATACATGATGGCCGTATGAAGGGCAGTCGAAGACGTGGGGAACGTCGCAATGTTGAATTTTCTGTTATGAGGCATGTGCACTAAGCTGTGGGGACTATGGTATGGAGTACCATAACTTATGGGAGTAGGGCTCTTTTGTTATTCATTCGAGGTAATATGACTCCCCCAGCGATATGTGGATGACGTGAACCCGATATTCTTCCATCTCTTCAGCAGTTGGAAGTCCCACTTTTCCAGCAGGATAATGCCCCTCCCCACATTGAAAGACGTTCTATGGACTTATTTGCACACGATAATGTCAATTTCTTGCCATAGCTACCCAGATCTCCCAGTATCGCCTATCGAGCAAGTTTGGGACATTATGAAGAGAAGACTGATGAACTTACCGCATCCTCCGCAGACGCTGCAAGCTCTACACAATGAATTAGAGGTTACTCACAGTTGCTTGGGACATAATACCTGCTAAAATCGATGCTACGAAGCGTGAGGGAGTGCGTAACCAATAGGGAGGGACTACTATTATTATTAATAAAAATATGTTTATATTTCATCCTTTTTCTTTTAAATGTTAATCAATTGTTACCTTTTAGTAGCTAAACGTTTCTGCCAAGTTTGGTCAAAAAATTCCAACTCCTTCTTGGTGTTGCAATTTCCATGTCACTGAGTATATTTTTCAAAACCTGGGTGTGCAGGTGGTCGTGGGTGTCGGAAGGCTGGAATGAAATGTTCAATACTGTTCAATACTTTGTGCCAACTGCAACGGAAACTCCTGCACTAAAACTTTCTCCAACCAGATACAATTGACGAACCATATGTTGTCGCCAAGACCTGGACTGCATATATGGGGCGACGGAAATTATTTGTTATTATTATTGTTATATTTTAAAATATACATTTGTCCCCCCCCCCCCTTCCCTAGGGGGGGAAACCTAGGATAGTCTCATTGGGCAACAAATGTAGCCATTAAAACAATCCTTTTGTAGGATTTAACCGATTCGTGTAATTTGATGGTCTACTGGGTTATGTATAGGTTTTTTGTGGTTTTCTTTAAGAGTTTTTTTTGTCTAATTACCTTAAGTTTAATCAAGATTTTAGCGTTTTAAGGTAGGTACTTATGAGCCTGTGAAAGTCGGATATTTGTTAAATCTAGGGCATGTGTACTGTAGAATTTAAATAGTTTTTGATGCGGAATACTGTGACGAGTGCCACCTTGTGGAGAGTTATTCAGAATGTCGTTTTTATCACGTTTTTCATAACGCTGATACATCGGTTGGGCACTGTGTTAATAATGGGATACCACATTTTTATTGTAGTAATATTGTACCTGACTCACTACGTCTACAAATAGCATTATGTAACAGATTAGTTACATTTGCAAGGGTCAAAGATTTCACTTGCATAAAATAAAATTGAACCTCTACGGCACTGGCTAGTATAGTAATAAAATTTTGTTGTGCCCCTTACCTTGCGAAAGTTGGGCTTCCTATCTCCTCATAAAACCTGAAATTCAAAATCTAATTCTCAGATTTGATTGAACTCGAACAAATACGGATATGCCTTTAGTGGCTTGAAATATATTAATGCAAACAAAGGCGATCAATTTTCATTTTTCTTTACACGTTCCTGGTGGATGTAAAATATTGGTCTGATTACTGCTACATTCTCCTGTTCAAAATATACACACACCTCTGAGAATGCTAAATAAAATTTTAATCCAACCAAAAGAATGGTATCACTGAAGTTAAATGCAAATTTTCCAATCAACGAAGCAAGATAACCCTTTGTTTAGGATTTTTATCAATAAATACAATACAAAAATGGTTTCATGCAAATAATTTTCAAGGGTAGATTCCTTTACGAATATTAAAATTACTTTGAACCAAAATCCGTCTATTTGCGCACGTATAAATTGCAGGTAACTCGACGACGTACCTACACAAAATTTAAGAGGTGCCATTTAATATGTTTTTTACTCGAAGTTATCTTGTAATCTGTACAGCGACTCAAATAGATAGACCGTACTCGCTTTCCCCAATATGGCGCCAGACATACCTTTGTTCATGTTCGCTACGAAGCGGTGTATGTGTAAATGTTTAATAAAATACTAATTCTAAAGCGACCACCCGTTACAACCAATATGTTGCGTAAGCGTTTCTGTTACATGAGACAGCATATAAATACTGACAACTTCTTTTTTCACAGATCTTTTACTTGGACGAACATGACACTAATGGATATAGAGTTTACAAAAATAAAGAAGTATTCCTTCAGTGTACCACAATGACGCATTCAACAGAACGCATAGTTAAAGGAAATACATGCTATACCGGTGGATTAGTGGTACTTAGTGATGGAGATGAGGTGAATGTACAAGATCTCGGTACCGGAAGATATTCCATATTTGAACCTGGAAAATCATTCTTTGGACTTATAAAGATTGCCGATGTAAAAGTAAAATAAATCTTTTATACTAAGAGATTAGAATGCTTTATGTAAATTTTTTTTTTGTTGAGTAGTAGTTGTATTTAGTAATTGTTGTTATTTTAAAATATTATTAGTGTGTAATATTCAAGCGAATATTTAATTTGTAGAGGCAGTATTATGTATTTAACTTATGAACTTTTGATATGGCTTACTAAAGATAGGAACTTTTGTGATAATTAAATAAACGCATGTGCACTATTTCAAGAAAGTATTATTATCTGTAATCATTTGAGGAGGAAGAACCATAATATGTAATAACAAAATTATCATTTGTGTAAATTTAATAGCAAATTGTATCTAGGTTCGGTACCTACTGATTCAAGGTCGTAGCCTTTACCGAAAAATAGCTGACAATAAATAGGTATCAAAACCTATGTACCTACTCTGAAAAAATCATTGCACGAAGTAACATCCTGGCTACACCCTTGCGTGCGCTTATTGGCCATACTTTGCATTATGACCTATTATTGAACTTTGTATTTATCATTTTGATAACACAAGTTTAATTAAAATTAAAGATACAGCGGAGGAGCCATTATGTGTTTGAGTGCCGAACTGTAAACAACCATGTTTAACATTGCAATTATAGGTGGTGGAGTAGTCGGATTAAGTACGGCCAATGTTATCCAGGACAGTCTAAAATCCCTAGCAAAAATTACAATTTATTCGGAAAATCTGTCTCCGAATACAACCAGTGATGTTGCAGCTGGATTATGGGGACCGTACCTATTTTTTGACACAAATCCAGATCAAGTTCTGTAAGTGAAACTCCGTCCATTTATATTTAATTACTGAAAATGTATCGTATCAATTACGATTAAACAGACTCACCTTTTGACCTCGATAAATACGTGTTTTGTTTAGGGGTTATGCTATGTCTCAGGGTTGTACCATAGGTACCTACTTTCATTTTTACGCACATGAATACGTTTCAACTTAAAACATCTTGGTTTACTCTATTTTTTTAACTAACGTTCTTAATTGCAATGTTGCCAACACACCCCCTCAATGACTATACAATTATTTTAAGAGCGAAAATTTGTCGGAACTTTTCAAAATCACACCCAAAGGTCTTGTGAACCCATCCGCAAATCGTTCATCAGTGCTAACATACTCCACTGTTACAACATTAATGTTTATCTTATCTCTAATTTGATATGTCGATTTAACTTGTGAAATTCGGGGTTCTTACATATTTTTATTGCGATCTGATTATCTTCAGTTATTAATACATTTACATAAGTAATCGTTTTCAATACTAAAATTATTGAATAATGTAAGCCAACATTCTTAATGATAATACATATATTGCTAAAAAACCGTATAGATATTCATTTTGTTACTAGGCTATAAACCAGATTTCGCTATCTGCTGAAAACCTCTAGCAACTAAACTATTTAATTACTTGCATTCACTCACATTTGGGTTACATGGGTATACGACCTCATTTTCGATTCCTCCTCGCACACTTTTCTATTTCGCCATATGTTGTGGATTTGTACAACAATAATTCAACTTCTTCTAAATTACCTAAGTTTGTAATCCTCGAATCATTCTTTTTCTTATGCCTTAAATTGTATCTTGGGGGTTTTTTTGGTTTTAGGGTTGGCCCTTACTAGAACTTCTATTTTTTCGGTTATTTTTGTCACGACCGCTATCACTTGTTCCAGACACTCCAAAGTTTTCTTTGTTGTGCCCCAAACTCCTACGTCTCTTTTTTGTAATCTTCACCATTTCCAGTGAACTGGACAGGTTTATGGGGAGATCGAGCTCCATTTAGCTAAAAGATTCAAACATTCGGTCTCTTGCTCTTTTTTTGGCGTGTCATTGTCTCCCCCTCCCCCTCCAGAATCCAGGTGGAACCGCAGAGAAGGATTCGCGGCATCTCGCCATGCCCTTCTGGGGTGTAGGTATATCAGTTCTTTGCTCTGACATTTAATTTTTTTGTGGTGTCTTCAATCTTTCCAGCTTAGATGGGCTGACCTATACCTTGAGGATTCATGAGGACATAGCCCTCCCAACACGAGAAGTACTGGCACCCAGGGAGGGTATAAGTTTGTACGTTTACCTCACACTTTCGCATAGAATGGATGAAAATACAGAACTCTACCAAAAAACTACACCATTTGTTCTTCGCAGAAACTACAGATCTTCAAGAGAAGTACCTATATCAAACGATTATTTTTGAAAGTACGTTTGCCATACATCCATTGGATTCAACAGTCTCCCTCTATAGTTGCCGTTTTTTTTCTGTTCAATTTTTCTATCTTAATTTTGCTTTTAACATTCTTACTTTTTGTTTGGGTAGTGTGAAGTCTTAATTTGATTCTGATGGTAGCAGATAGAATTTTTCATCCTATTTTTGGACGTCTGAAAACGAAGTTTATATACTATGACGTAGAAGAATTAGTCATATTTAGGAGGAAGAACTCCTACTTAATTCCGTCCTTATTTTCTGCAATGAAAGTACTACCACAACATGGGTGTGTTCAAAGATGATAAAAAATTCATACCGGCTTCATCCAGTGTATGATATAATTCACATAAATAGAAGGTTGAGACCTCTTGAAACGTTAATATATGCTGTTTTAGAGCATGGGCAAAATTGACCCACAAACAATTTTTAAACTTATGGAAAAATGGATCTGCAAGTGAAGCTGGCATTAGTTTACAATCTGTTAAATCGGTGTCTGGAGCTCCCCACACTCCTTTCACTACACACATCAATTTTGGCGAGCATCCGATGACACCTGCCGAAGTCGACGAAATGGGCCAATTGCTAAATCAGCAATTCCAGTAAGTATCTACTTTTAACACTATGTACCTATACAATTAAAGTGTCACCTATATAGGTCAGGTGTTACATTTGTCACCTTGGCATGCGAACCCATGAAATACTTACCATATCTGCTGCAACGATTTTTGAGGAATGGTGGAATTTTAAAACACCAGAAAGTAAACAGTCTTGATCAATTGTCCCATTATGACTTAATTGTGAACTGCTGCGGATTGGGCGCTTCCAGTTTAATTGGAGACACCCAAATGAAGCCGGTTAGAGGACAAATTATGCGGGTAAATACTGAGAACAAATTCAAGTTGCATACCTACTGGTGCATTTTGTTTTAGGTAAAAGCTCCATGGCAGTTTACTAGTGCTTTGGTGGGAAGCGTTTATATAATACCAAAGTATGTACCTACCACGTTACTAACTTACAGTATATAGCTTTGCTTGCATTTCAGTTTGAGTTTTACCATTTTGGGCGGAACATCGCAAGTAGACGATCGCGATACCACCGTCAGAGACGCGGACACAGCGAAAATTATTAAGGGTTGTAAAGATCTAATGCCTGCGATTGAAGTGAGTATCATTCTGTTAAACTGCATAAACTCATTGCTTTTGTAGAATGCGGAGGTCATCGAGCATAAAGTTGGAATACGTCCCGGTCGCGTAAAGGTTCGTTTGGAACGCGAAACGATGAGCATGAACGGAAAACAGATGCCAGTCATCCACAATTACGGTCACGGAGGTTGCGGCATTACTTTATCATATGGAACAGCAGTATCTGCTACTGAACTAGTAAAAGAAGCTTTGAATATTCCCCCTATGAGTAAACTTTAATTATTGAAATAGTAACTGTCTGATGCTAATGAATTAATTATTACGTATAATGTTTGATAATTTCTTGGCAACCTTACCATAATTCCATCTGTAAAGTAATATCATGAATGCATCACAATGGATTGTGGGAGTAGGAAACTGGGAACCCTAGAATACTATTTTAGAGGGAATTCAATAGGCGCTGGATTCAGGAGTTAACTGTCAGGCAATTCAATACTCTGTCGCAGGGCTGTGCCCAGCGCAGGGCACATGCCTGGAAGATTTTCTGCCCTTCCTGATGGCGATTTTAAATATCCATATACCGCATCTTAGAAATTATTGCGACCAGCGGAAATAGGGGGAAAGTAATTTGTGGTCCGTGATTGTCTCATGAAACTGCTAAAGAAAATATGTATACCAAACAAGTATTGTGCACAAAAGCGTATTTTTTTAAACTAAAATAGTTTAAAATAATTGGGTTATAAGGTATAGTAGCATATGCTCTATTTATCGATGTTTACCTTCTTGGTAGTTGATTACGTATTACACACGATTGTCCTATAATTGGAATAATTTTTGTTCTGTTGGGCAATTCAATATTATTATTATTAATGGGGAGAGAGCTCTTTACACATAAACATTTAAAGGCAGCCTGGTACACATTCAGCAATCTACGCTATATAATTCCAGAAGAATCAAGCAGACACTCGCAATTTTCGAGATATTCCCATTCAAGTTTCATGTAGACGTTCCAATCGCCTTTTGAGAGTACCTTCCTCTGACACTCAGTTCCACAGATATTTACACTGAAACTCGTCCACATGTTCCACTTGCGCTCTGCCAATACTTTGTCTCGATCCAACCGATAGATATGTCTCGTCCAGAGCATTCATTTCGCCTCTATACGTGAGTAACTACTCCCCGCCAGACCATCCATTTTGCCTCCCCGACACACTGTTTTTGAGATATTTGCTCACTTACAAAGTCCCAATCATCTTTTGTGAGTACTCTTTTCCGACATTCATTGAGACCTTTAATTAGCATACTATGAAAGATAACTCCCCCTCCCCCCTCACCTATTGATCTCGAAACAGAGTCGCCGTTCACATGCCATCATCAAGAGTATTGGTTTCACACTATCACCATGGCGTTACACTATGTTTTCACTTACCTAAAATTGACCTTTTACATTTTAAAATCTGATAACATCCGATTAGTTATATTATTTGCCAATTAACAAGTTTTGTAGAAAATAATCACAGTAAGAACACAATACTGTAAATTTCCTCTAGGAAATAGGAAACATATATTTTGCACGTATTGTCCATTAAGAGATGCACATGCACTCGCTATCTTCACAAAATGGTATTGCACCTGGTCCGCATGAATGAAAGCAAGTGTCGTCGGACTTACAACATAAACCTTAAATATAAAAGAAGGCAATATACTTTATTTTTCCATTTGTTTTACCTAGTTCAGCATATACGCAAAGTATTATTAGCATGTAGGTCACAAGAATTAGGTTTGACAACATATTTAAACAAAATAATTCAAATACGCTCGCTCCAAACAATAATAGGCTCCTCACAACCTATCAGAGGAAGGAAGTATTGGTTAGCATTGGTTTATAATCAGCAAAGGGTCGAATTTGATTGTATAGCATATGTAGACGAAGTCAATATACTTATAGTTTTACGAGAAACTGTACAGATAAAGTAATAAAGAACTCTGACAGTTAAATGCGGTGTCGCAAATTGAAATACGGTACAGTCTTCTTGAACAATATATTCAACATTCAACATATTCAAAACTAAGTCACCCTGCTAAATATAAATAGGGTGCAGATAAACATATTACGTTAATTAACATTACAACAAAATAAAGGAGACTGTCGTGGCACAATATGAGTATATATTATTAATTAATTAAATTCAATACCAAGTGCAATATGTAACAATTTTGACCTAACGCAACTCGCCCCCAGGTGCAACGCCCTGTAAAGAAACAGCAACATTTTGGACCTGAAAAAGAAATGAAATGCTGCAAGAAATTCAGTTGTCAATAAACCATTTCATGTCGATGTCCCAAACTGCAGCAACCATCAGTTAATTGCTATAAAATTAATTATACCTACGTTTAATTCTGCATACATCGTTGTTTATGCCTTTGAATACCCTCCCATAAGCGCACATACTGCACTGTCTAAATGCAACGAAGGAATTTTTATGTGGTTGGTCCAAGCAAAGGGGGCCCGTTTGTAACAAGGACTACAAATTGGGAAATAAACTCATTTAGACAGAAAAATATAATGAAATCTTACTGTGCCTCTACGAAGGAGACTCTATAGCTATTTTTTTCTCGCGGAACAATAAGGAAAGGGAAAAATTGCGGGACAAATCGTTAGCCGTACCAGTTGCGCGAAAGAAGTGAGTTACCAATACGCGGCCTTTCTCACATTTACTATCCTTATATATATACCTACTAATTGCTCAAACATGCACAAATCATCATATGTGCGGCATCGCTAGATTTATCTCAACGATTAATAATAATATTGCCTTTAATTATCCCCAAAAACAAAACAGAAATAAAATACCACACTTCTCCTCCACTTAACCTGCACTGATGTTCAAGAATTAAGGATATACCTATCGTGGGGATCTCCGAAACAATATAACGATGGTCAAATTAGAGAATCATAGCTACTTTAAAGGAAACCGAAAAACGATTATTTTCGAAGATATGCGAGAAAAACCGCAATTTTCCGACTTCGTGTGAGAATACCTATCGAACAAATTTTGCATTGCCCATGAAATTGGCGTTTAGAGATTCGTAAAAACAAACGCTTCCTAATGAATGAGGTCCTTTAGGAGCTCGTAAACTTTGACATGTAATCTCTTGAGGTTTTGATTACTTTTTATTCTGTAGCTGGCTTTGTGGGATTGATCCACAGGGTAGCTTTGGAGTAGTGATGCAACGGAAGTGTTATAGAGCGGAAATACTTGCAGAGGCAGAGGTCTGTTGCATCAATATTGTGGAGGCTTTTCTTTGGGTGAGTAAGCGCCACCTGCTGTGATAAATTAGAAAGTGGTACTACTCTATAGAGGTGGTTGGCTAATTTGTCCCAATTCTAGTGCGCCATTTTGGGGTTTTGTTGAGACTAGAAGGATCTAGCTCTATCTTCTGCTAGTCAGTCTCGTACTACAAACTCTCTAAGAGAACTGACCCGACAACACAATAAACTTATAAACCTGGGTTAGGACCTCTCTTCAAGTAATGTTTCAGATAGAAACTGGTCACCTACTGTTATGGAGGTGTTGCGTTTCGTCTGGGCTCTCACATTGGGCTGTCATACATCGTATTGGACACCCCTTTGACAATTGATCCACTCAAAAGCCCCACAACCGAAAAAGTAACTGAGGGAGCATACAAAATTTAATCAAACTACATATTTTCTTTAAAAATTTTATTTATAAAAATACATTAACATTTTAACTAAATTTGACTCACCAACAGCACCAAAAGCTTTGGAATGTTGACATAAGGTAACAGGGACTAAGAACACCATGTATATGCATAGCTTCGCTATATACACAGCATTTAAACCCTGAAAGCATTGTACACAAGGCACATGTTTAAGCATTTCACTAAGGGTAAAACATAATGGAATATTATGCTCAGTACAGTGTTGTCATATATAGCTCTACATAATTTATATATTATAAACCAATCGAGCTACATACTGCACAACACTGACACTAAGATATACATGTGATACCGCATGTAGGAATACTAGCTACTTAAGTGTTATCACAATGGACAAATAGTATACATCGCTTTCATGACAAAAGGACTGCATTTATTTACAAAAAAAAGCTATGGTATGTTATATGATTCAGAATGTCTCGTAGAATTGTAAACTGCCACAATGTACAGGATATTCCATTAAAAAAAATGCCGAAATCATACTTCCTACTCGAGACACATGTATATAACATTTTTAAAGCAAAACGCGGTAAATGAACTTGGTCCTTTCATTATAATCGCAGTGTATAATACTGATCAAACAAAACTTATCACAACCTTTACTAGTTACTTCATTTTTCTTTGTGTTTGTAGTAGCTTTAATACTTTCTCTTCCAGACTAAATAAATGCTCGTCATCTACCATGGGAACAATTTCTCGTATCGACTTTGCCAGATTGAGAAGATAATCGACATTAGTACCACTGGGTCCGACAGCATTTACTATCTGCAAGGCAATACTGTCATCGTCAGCTGCACCGGCAAAATTTTGATTATCCTCTAGTCCCACGTAAACTAGAATGTCAAAAGGCGAGTTGCCAGACAGAGGAAAGAACGTTAGTTTCTTGCAAGTATATCCTCCCTTCTCTCGTATATTTAAATGCTTGATAACCTGATCGACACACTTATCCGGAATCTTATAGGCTACTCCCCAAACACAACTCTACAAAATAATAGCCATCAGATGAACGACGATCATTGCTACTTACATCTTCTGAATCGGGAATAAGTGTAACAACTCTACCGGGCTGAAAGAAAAGCAAATGTTTGGTGGTTCTTAAAATTCTGTAGGTATTACATTTTCCGGAGTGCCACGATGGTCGGTGCTGTGCTGGTAGAACTTCCGCAAATACCCCTTAATATATCCCGCGGTTTTTATTTCGTAAGGGAAGTCCACTTTCCAAATCAACGATCCATAGCCGAAAACCCACATGTTCATAGGCAGTAAATTATTTATTTTCGAATTCAACTACAGGAAAATTATAACCTATAAAATGTCATAGGTTATAAATTTGCAAGGATTATAAATTATAATCCTTGATAAATTTGAGGTTAACGCGTTGGTTGCATTCAGTTAAGCGCTAGTGTCTTATTTTGGTCGTAATCACTCATCGAAGTTCAGACTCTTTCTCATGATTCCAAATTAACCTTTCGAAGGTTATTCACACTGTTAATACATCTCAATGCGTCCGAGTTGAGTGGTCCAGCTGAAGCAGATTCTCGGACTGGATTTATATGTATCAAACTAGTTTCGAGCGATTTGATTGGCTGGAAGAAATGATGTGATTGGCGGTACAGATGCGAATATTCAAGATGCGCGAATCAAATATGAGCGGGAATACGCACTTCGGAAGAGGTTCCCTGAAGAATACGCGTTGAACCTTGACCGGATTTGGGTCAAACGGTAGTAGTGACACTTGAAGATTAGGGTATAAATCGGTCTTGTTTTTACCGGATACAATTCGCGCTTTAGACGTGGACAAAGTTAGATCTCAAAATTATAGTGGCGAGTGAATCAAATATTTTGTGTATTCAAGGGGGTAAAAGATCGATTTTTATGAACTAATTTTAATAAAATTGTCAATCATCTGTAAGAACGGAGTAAGAAAATTCGATCATTTACAGATTTAAAACTGTAAAAAAAGGGGACTCTTAGATTCTAATATTTGCGACCCACCTTGAGAACGAGAATTTTCCAATAATTTTCCTCATTTTTTTCCTTTATTGTTAGTTGCGAAATAAGTACTTACTGAGTTAGCTAGGTATCCACTTGCACTTTGTGTACAATCTCTCTTTTCGAATTTTTTTTATTTCCTTGACACTTCATTAGGTGGCGCCAGAAAAGTAAGATGGAGAAATTATGGAAAGGAAATCCAGTCAACGCTCCAAAATACAAAGAGGGTGTTTATTTCTTTACAAGTTTCTCTTTGCATGCATAATAGGTATAAGTTCATAAAGTCTGATAAAGTAAATCATATCACATAATTAACTAGACACTGTTCAATAATCACTAAACATTTTATAGATAATATGTAACTACAGAGTACTTTCATTTTCAACGTAGGTGTCTATAAAATGAAAATATTAACATCATGATATGAATAACAGCATATAATGATTGACTAGGAATTTAAAGTACAGAAACATTTACGTTTTTACATTATATTACATCATTTATCGCTAAAATGATATGCTTGACATGGTATAGGCGACCTTAAGGTCTCAACTCTTATTTAGCTTGATTCATTCTCGTGGCAATGAAAATATATTTCGTTATGAACAAATTACTAATTTCACTAATGGTTAGATGGTTTCAATCTTTCCACTTCCACCGGTCACGGGCGACTAGATTGTAAAATTTAAATTTTTAACAAAAACAAATTATTTACATTAAAAGGTATCCCCAGTAGGTGACGGTAGCTTATTGTTGTTTTCTGAGTTCAAGCAAAGCACTCCATTGTGATTTAAGCACGTCGTGCAATCGATTGCAGGGGTTCCAGATACGCTATTTCTTGGTGCTGGCGATCCATCTGTAATAGAAAAGGTTTGTACACGTTTAGTCGTCTTTATCTAGGTTTTTAATTAATTAAATTACGCACACATTATTTGTGCATTGTTAGGCAGATTGGTTCTATTAGATAGTGGGTTTGTCAAAATCTGTTATTCTAAATTTCTTTTTCAGTCGGTAATTTCCAAATTAATTAAGCGCACTTTATTTCACTAAGACGAAGATAAGATGTGTCATGGAATTTGTTTTGTGGTCTAATGGCGTGATCAAATTGAGGCTCATGGTTTGTTTCCTTACCGCACCACATCAACCCCCCCCCCCCCCCCCATACCGCAACCTGCTCGTCGACTTTCACTTGAAAAATTACTAATTGCCGACGTCGTTTCCTATGCATGGTAAATGTTTATCGGAGATTTATGAATCAAGGCTCCTTTGAACGGGTACCTGAAGAACAGCTGTAAATACGACAATTATATGGTCATCCACAGCTGAAATGTCTTTCGAACGGTGCAACAAAGATCTGGCGAACTGCGCTCTTCTGGTACATCCAATCGATGGAACAGCACTCGTACTGACAACCGACGCCTCTGATTTCTCCATCGGCGCAGTGTTTGAACAGAGCAGCAACGAATTATGGACGCTTTTAGAATTTTGCTCGAGAAAAAGTTAAATCCAAACGGCTGTTGAATGTGGGAAAACATCGCTAGAAATCAAAAAGCTCTGCCCATTAGATAACAGTGCAACGACAATAACTTGCGATGTTTCCACAGGCGTAATCCGTCCTTACGTACCTAAAAGAAATTCGTTTGGCCACTCATGAATCGCGACATCACGTCACTTAACGTTTTTTACTGTTCCAAATATTTTCTCACAATTTCCGATCGCTTCACCAGGAGGATGATCCACCTGGGTGTCTCGTTTTGAATTTCCATACCGCATTGCGACTAACCAAGGACTTCGATTAACGAACCTACTTGGAATTAAGAGATGCCGCACGATTACCTACCGTCCACAATTGAATAGTTTGATTGAACTTTGGCATCGAAGCAAAAAGCAGCCATTAGGTATGTGCCATAACAACATTTTGGATTTGGATTGAGTTCTTTACCAACTATGCCCCTTGGATTAAGAACAAGTTTCAAAGAAGATGTACGATGGTCGCCTGCAGAATTAACGTATGGAACCCACCTCAGAATTTCAGGAGAATTTTTCTTTGATTTGAACATATCTTCTCGTGGACCCTGTAACTTTCGTCGATCGACTTCGAGATCAGTTGATCATGAAGAAATCAAGCGCAGTGAGAATGTTTACATGTGCCAACGTTGCCATTGCTCGTCTGAAACCCGCTTCCCTTTCAAAAGACACGCCAGAGATGAGAAACCAAAAAAATGCAACGTGGGAGCATTTTCCTCTTCTAACAACCCGAGTAGGAAGGAAAACAAACCGCCTGTACGTTTCCGCGGCTACAATAATTAGGTAGTTAACTTAGGGGGAAGTACTGTAGCGATAATTAATCATGGTAGGTACACCTAAGACACCACAAGAACAGTGGTTGTCAACGTGACAAAAAACACATTGTTAATTCATTCATTCATTCTGTGTATGTTAAAAAATAAAATCGTTCCTATTCCAAGGCGGATTTGATTATTTTATAACTACCCGTTTACATGTGGGATATGTTGGCTGATGGAGTTTTATTGGTTCATTTGGGGTTTAAACAACCCAGTTAAACATTTCCGGCAAAGAAACTTAAGTTAGAGGTGGCAGTGACAATTCTTTTTGAAAGAAGAAGTTAACTCCGTTATTGAACTATGCCACTATGCCGACTCTTTTTAATATTCGACAGAATGATGTTATAAACAATAGCACTTACAGAGAGTAACTGCTTCCACGTTGGGCATAAGATTTTTTGAAGTAAAAAAGTTTTACATTTCAAATCATTATTAATAGATCTGAGCATATTTGGTAGTCACAAATCCTCGAGAACCATTATAGTCTAGCTAGGCGATAAAGACATCGAACTGGACATTTTGAGGTAGAAAAGAAAACAATGGTGGAATATGTTCGGTTAGGTGTCAGAAACAACATATTAAAAATCCCACCCCCGACCCCGTGCTAAAGGCTCCACCCCCCAGAAATCGTGTTTTCGCCCTTTTTGGGTTGATATCTCGCGATCTATGAGGTCTAGAAGAAATATTTTTTGCTGAAAATATTTCTCGTGAAATTTCATACAAGGTAGATACTCAGAAGTTAGCCAAGGTCTACCCCTTAGCCTAGAAAAAGGATAAAAGAGGCCAAAATCGTCAATTTTGGTGGCTTTTTAGGGTTTTTTGAAAATATATCGCGACCTTTAGGGTTAGATGAAATATTTTTAGCTAAAAATGCTCCTCGTGCAATTTTTTACAAGGTAGATGCTCAGAAGTTAGCCTAGCTGTACCTCTCAGCCTAGGAAATTCATAAAAGTAGGCGAAAATCATCAATTTTCATGTTTCTTTGCGTTTTTTTGCAAATATATCGCGACCTTTAGGGCTAGATGAAATATTTTTAGCTGAAAATGCTCTTCGTGCAATTTCATACAAGGTAGATACTGAGAAGTTAGCCTAGGTCTACCTCTTAACCTAGAAAATTCATAAACGGAAGCGAAAATCATCAATTTTCGTGTTTTTTTGCGGTTTTTTGCAAATATATCGCGACCTTTAGGGCTAGATGAAAATTTTTGGCTGAAAATGCCCTTCGTGCAATTTCATACAAGGTAGATAGTGAGAAGTTAGCCAAGGTCTACCTCTTAGCCTAGATAATTGATAAAAGGGCCAAAATCATCAATTTTAGCCTAGGTGTACCTCTCAGCCTAGGAAATTCATAAAAGGAGGCGAAAATCATCAATTTTCGTGTTTTTTTTGCGGTTTTTTGCAAATATATCGCGACCTTTAGGGCTAGATGAAATATTTTTCTTTGATTTGAACATATCTTCTCGTAGACCCTGCAACTTTCGTCGATCGACTTCGAGATCAGTTGATCATGAAGCAATCACGCGCAGTGAGAATGTTTACACTATTTTATTTAATGGTGAATGTGCCAACGTTGCCATTGCTTGTCTGAAATCCGCTTCCCTTCCAAAAGATACGCCAGAGATGAAAATCATCAATTTTCGTGTTTTTTTGCGGTTTTTTGCAAATATATCGCGACCTTTAGGGCTAGATGAAATATTTTTAGCTGAAAATGCTCCTCGTGAAATTTCATACAAGGTAGATACTCAGAAGTTAGCCTAGGTGTACCTCTCAGCCTAGGAAATTTATAAGGAGGTGAAAAGCATCAATTTTCCTGTTTTTTTGCAGTTTTTTGCAAATATATCGCGACCTTTAGGGCTAGATGAAATATTTTTAGCTAAAAATGCTCCTTGCGAAATTTCTTACAAGGTAGATACTCAGAAGTTAGCCTAGGTCTACCTCTTAACCTAGAAAATTCATAAAAGGAGGCGAAAATCATCAATTTTCGTGTTTTTTTGCGGTTTTTTGCAAATATATCGCGACCTTTAGGGCTAGATGAAATATTTTTAGCTGAAAATGCTCCTCGTGAAATTTCTTACAAGGTAGATACTCAGAAGTTAGCCTAGGTGTACCTCTTAGCATAGAAAATTCATAAAAGGAGGCGAAAATCATCATTTTCGTGTTTTTTTTGCGGTTTTTTGCAAATATATCGCAACTTTCAGGGCTAGATGGAATATATTTAGCTGAAAATGCTCTTCGTGCAATTTCATACGAGATAGGTAACTGAAGAGTTGGCGTAAAGTCACCTTTCACCTTCAACTTTCATGTGTGAGGAAATATTCATTGTAAAACAAAGTATTTTTATGTACTATTTATTCACGTAAAATAGCATTTTCATATCAAATTCATTCATTTATACGTCAATGCAATCATTCTCCTCTGCGGATTCCACTTCTTCAGGCTCTTCGACGTCCTCTAGTGGTAGTGGGTCGTCTGAAATTACCGACTCGTAGTTCTCCTCGTCTTCCGCTTTACCTGTTTTACGTGAATAAATAGTACATAAAAATACTTTGTTTTACAATGAATATTTCCTCACACATGAAAGTTGAAGGTGAAAGGTGACTTTACGCCAACTCATCAGTTACCTACTTCGAATGAAATTGCACGAAGAGCATTTTCAGCTAAACATATTTCATCTAGCCAACGATATATTTGCAAAAAACCGCAAAAAAACACGAAAATTGATGATTTTCGCCTCCTTTTTTGAATTTCCTAGGCTGAGAGGTACATCTAGGCTAATTTCTGAGTATATCTACCTTGTAAGAAATTTTACGAGGAGCAGTTTTAGCTAAAAATATTTCATCTAGCCCTAAAGGTCGCGATATATTTGCAAAAAACCGCAAAAAGCCACGAAAATGGATGAGTTTGGCCTCTTTTTTCAAGGTAGACTTTGGCTAACTTCTGAGTATCTACCTTGTATGAAATTTCACGAGACATATTTTCAGCTAAAAATATTTAATCTAGACCTCATAGATCGCGAGATATCAGCCAAAAAGGGCGAAAACACGGTTCCTTGGGAGTGTTGGGGTGGCTGGAGCCTTTAGCACAGAGGTCTAGGGGGTGGAATTTTTAATATGTTGTTTCTGACATGACACCTAACTGAACGTATTCCACCAATTTTTTCTTTTCCACCTCAAAATGTCCAGTTTGCCAATTTTACAGTCTCTATCGCCTAGACTATTAGTTAGATTCCGCTGCCAAAACCACAGAGATACTTCTCTGTGAGTAGGTACCCGAAACATGCTTTGAAATCAAAGGGATTGCCTATCACAAAGCACGTTCTATGAGTTTCTGCCAGGGAAAATATGTTATGATTCCCCCCACCCGAAATTATTATGAAGAAATATTAAACGCTTCTGTTCTTTAAATGAGAAACGTTCATTTCCTATGCAGTGTTTTTAGATGCCTCCTCGATTGCCGTGTTTTTTCCACTAACTTCTAGGTACTGTTTGGTCATATTTTCTCCATTTGGATCATTCTACAAGCCTCTTCACCACGTTTGTGTGGAAAATATAGAAATGTCCCAATCGGACAAAAGTTGACACCACTGAGTTTTTTTCCTGAGAACGCATTTGGAGACTGTACGAAGCAATACCTCAATAAATATATACCTATCATATTCAATTTCCCGCCGTAACATATTGGATAGGTAGAGTCAATAGTAGGTAGTAAGCTCTACCTTAGGCTCTCATGGCAAATATACGAAACAAAATATGATTGGAAAAATACTTTTAATGTATGAAATAGATGAAAATTAAACGACAGGAAATGAAGTGAAAGAGAGTTCAATCGCCGCATGGGATACAGAAATATCTTTTAATCCCATTCGTCTGGATTAGCGCTTGAGTTAATTACCACTTCATTGAAACACTTTTGGAATCCATTGACATCGGGAAGACAAAGTGTGGAAACTTATGGTGGATATTCATTTTTCTACCTCTGGAATTAAAAGACTATCTCGTACTGAAACGTATAGAATAATTAATTGACGAAGTAAGCACTCGGTAATACAAGCATTAACTCTTACCTTAACGTAATTCAGTAATTATTTAGAATCTAACTAATAATTGAAGGTGTGACTTAACTCTCTGGCAAGTTCATTAAGCGGATTTCCGTTAATTAACAAGGTGTAATCAAATTACATAAGTACACACTCTGCATGAATAGCGGTTGAATCAATTGATACAGCTGTTACCATGGTTACAATTAAAAGGATTTGTCAGTGCTCGTCGTAAGCCTGTATTTGAAATATATGTGGGTATACAAACCTGATTCGATGAAAAAGTGCCTGTGAAGATCGTGCCTGTATAAAAAATTGCTTCGTTCCGATCTATCCAAAGAAAACCTAGAGAGGTTCCATATTCTGTCAGTTAAAGTTGATACGGCCTCTTGATGTGGTGTTAACGAAAGCTGCTCGTTGCTTTCGGAAACGGAGGGAGGTGCCTGCATGAAAAGAAACTGAGTGTCAATATGTATATACTTATAGCGAGAAGAAAGTTTCACATTGGACCATGCTATACAATTTTGTATTGAAGTTGGGAAATCATGAAGCAGAATCAACTGCTATATCCTTGGAAGAGCAGTTGGTATAATGAATGATTGTGGGACTCTACTTATTATGATTAATTGAGCGATTTATGTGTTATGTTCATGTATATAATATTTTGCTTGGAAGCGTGGAGAAAACTGGGAAGCATATACGCCAAGTGAGGTTCCATATGCACTATGGAGACCAGGGTCCGGGCTATGTATTTAGCAAAAATGATCCATAAGCCAAGATCTAAATTGCAAATAACGAAAAAAATATAATTTAGCAAATCTTGCCGCTCCTCCGAAAGTGGCGCCCAGGTAGCTCATTTATAACGTGGAGCCTGATGGAGACGAGAATGCGTTAGATAAATCAGAATGGGCTTCAATGTCCACTTACAATAAATAGAAGAAAAAAAAGGATTACTCACTAAAGAAACACATGAGGACAATCAAGCACAATGTTGAACGGAAAAATGTCAGAAAATCTCCAATGAAAAAGGATAAGAAACGAATGCAACATACCATATTTAGGCATAGGTACATGAAAAAAATTGTTCACAAAGAATCAAAAAAATGAATTATGTTGACCCCGATCACAAATACCATTCAAGAGAACAATAACAATAAAATGGTTTATTTTGAAAATTCGTATACTTTAATTTTGAATTTCGCTTGATACAGCAAAAACATACTTCATTTAACTTTTGTAGGTACCTATATCATGGTTCTTCCAAAGAGTAAACGATGAACTCCAGGAGAGATAAGTTTAAACAAGCGCGCATTTTTTTTACCGAAATAGCTTTTGTTTTGACATCACCAATGGATATATTTCTTGCAGACGTCTCAATCGTCCTTCGTTAGTACCCACTTCCGACAATCCGTTCTTGAGGTATAAGGAAATATACCCGATCACGATAAGAGGTCGAGGAGGAGGGTTTTTCATTAGAGTACCATGAAGGATAAAACTAGTTCCACTCCCTCCCACCCCTCCCCTCTGCGCCGAGGACAGAAAGAAGGGCAGTAGTTGATAGAAAACGGTTCCTTTCGTCGAGACTTTTAATTAGAATACAATGAGAGACAAAATTAATTTTTATGTAAAAATTATGCACGTTTTACTTTCAAAAACAGCATCTCAGGAAATAATTTGTGGAGGGGGGGGGGCCTTTTAGACAGCGAAATTTAATGGCCGTCTGGCACACCTTTAAGGTATAGGCTACCCACTGCAAAAAATTGCAGGACTCTAGGACCATTCCCCTAGAAGTAGTTCAAAACGGCAGAAGTGGGTCCGGACGGACGGACGGACGGACAGACAAAACGCAAACAATAGCACATTTTTTTTTAATTCTTAAAAAATGCGCTAAAAAGCAGTTACATAGGAAATATGTTAAAATTATATAATTTGTGTCCTCCGGCAACTTCGGTTTATTAGTTTATTAATATTTACTAATATACAGTTTTCTCAAATTTTAGCCTAGCTTTCCTCAATTTCTTCACGGATTTCTCTAAAGTTCCTCTCAAGTTTTCCCCAACTTCCCTTGAACTTGATAATATCCCTAAGCTTCTCTTAAATTCCTCTACGTTCAAGCTTTCCTCAAGTGCTTCTTCCGCTTCTCAAATTCCTCCAAAAGTTCTATCAAGTTGGCATCTCAAGTTCACTCGCCATCGGAATGTTAACCCCCAAATAAAATTCGCCCCTCGCGCAATAATTCCCGACCAGAAACTTGCTCCCAGCGAAATTGGCGTTCAAGAAAGATCGATCTCTAAATATTGCCTTTATCGCGTTCACAAAATTAGCCCACATGTAAATTTGCTCCACAGATTATATGCCTCATTAATTTTTACCCTTTTTGAATATTCTTCCCTGTCGGGAATACTCGCCCACGAGGAACGAAAATTTACATTCACATATAAAAAATTTGCCCCCGCAACTGGCGTTCAAAAATTTGCTCGTGGAATATTGATTCAATTGGGAAATATGCCTGATAGTGGCAGACGTTGTAACAAATTTGAACAAAATCCATATTTCTAAGATTGGTAGAGAACTATCTACGTACAGCCGGGCAGATACCAGGACGAACGGACATGTGATTAGGCGAACAAACATTGCGATTTCAAAAGTGAGGCTCTTTTATCAATTTTATCATCAATTGTATCCTTTTTTTAGCGATCTTTTCTTACCAATTTAAATTCCAAATCTTTCTGTTTTTTAAATGATATTCTTACGCCATTTACGCATTTCCTCTGTAAACTCGTATAGTGGAGAAGTCGTTAGGGCTATGGTAGATTTGTTATTACTTCAATTGTTTAGTTTGCCGCTAGAGATCATCCAAGTGTTATACTTACTTCATTGTTTTGTCGCTAGAGGTCTTCATTCTATCCCTTATTAAATTTTGTCTTGTCTACAAGCTGTACTTGTTCCTTTTTAGAGAAGATCTTGCATTCATAGTGGTTACTTGCAATTTTTTTTTATACACCATTACTCTTACTTGACTTACGTCTACCTGAAGACTCTTGGTATTGGATATCGTCATATTTCTTTCGAGTGTTTCTTTCTATTTTTGATGTGTTGTGGCTGCTCCATTGAATACGCTTAGCGGATTTATATTTGCAAGTACTTCTATTCTGTTCTATTCGCAGGGGAGCCCGACCGGGCAGCACTTAGGCACACCAGAGGCCCATTGTGCCTACCCCCTTTCTTCGCAACTGAGCAAGTACTTAGTGAATCTCCTTGTTTTCTCTTACTTTTCTCTCCTGGATTATTTTTTTCGTTATTATCTACCTGGGTACTACTACGTCAACATCCGTTGTGAAATATTTATCTACGTCGAATTTGACTGCCATACCTTGGAAAATTCCACCGCCATCTTGTGTGTGTCGGATTAAGCACGTGATACATTTTACACCTGAAGCCTGTTTCTGTTTAACTACAATTATTACGAAACCATTTGGAGATTATCGCTTCGCTATTTTTGATCCTACGTACCTACTTTGCTTTTGTCGTTTTGCCGAAGATCACATCTTACCGATACCTATTTCACTTTTGTCTACGTTATACTTCTCCTATCCGAAGATTCTTGTCTTTTTACCGATATTTAGTATATTGCTTTTGAATTGTAAATAAGTTTTTGAAGTCACCGAAACCTAGTCGGAAATAGATATTTACGATTTTTAACTACGTTACTTGAGTCATTACGGAGAATTTGTTCGTGTTAGTATATTTACATTTTGAATTCAAAATTTTGCTTTGCCGAAAAACGCCCTTCTGAGCTCAAACGGCTGTTACGATCAGAGTTTAAAAGGCAATTTTTGTTTTCGACGACTCCTTGGTATAACGTTTGATTACATACTGGTTTTTGATACAATCGAATTGTATAATGACTACAAATTTGTTTGAGTAGTCTTTTACTAAAGACTGCTGATGAAACTTTGAATGATATCTTTGAACCGGAATCAAAACGTCAATCGGCTCAATGGATTTTTCCAACTGACATCTCAGATTAAAAGTAGCCAGGAACTTGATGAAAGGGTAAGTGGGGGGTCTCATTGAGATCAGGCTTGGTTCTCTGATTTATTGTTTTTTCTTATTCTGTAATTGGCGCTACGCCAGTGGATTTATACTCTTCACAGTAGTTGAAGGGAGAGGAACACTTCATGCCGGATTCTACTACTATTTCTGCACGTGCATAATTCGAATTTCAAGTTCATTTGTTTCCAGAAGCATTTAACTAATAATAAAGTATAACAGTATCAGAGACGAGTGTAGGTGATTGAAATACGGGAAATACGAGTTAACGGGCTTATCCGCCACACTTGCTTAGGTACCGTTTCGTCTTTTTACTTGGGCAGCTACATTAGATTAGAGAAAAGGGGAGTTCCAGCTCAACTGCGTGCCAATTCTCCGTTCTATTTTACGATCGCTCAAGTTCAGTCGCGCGATTTTAAGACAGATCGCCGCAATCAACGCGTAGTGAAGGATATAAAATCGGCGGTGCTAATTTTTGTGAAGCGCGGAACAATTACAAAGCGTCTGTGGGTATGAATTGTAGTAGGGCCTGACACACGTGCAAGGGAATTACTCGATGATGCTTGCTCTAGTAAATACTGACACTCAAGCACCAGCTTAGAGTTGATTTTGCAGTGTCCGAGTGCTTGAAAGGCAGTTCTGCTGTCACTGGATATTTTTATTGTTTTGGTCTCAGAGCAGATGCCGGTTTTTGTGCCTTCCATAGTTTTAATAAAAAATAAATAAAGAGTCATATACATAGCGTCGATTTCCGGTCTAAGCAGAAGTTCCGGCATCCTGAAGGTATTTTCGTTCAATCGTAAAATTAGTTTTACTTTGAGGTGCAAATAATAATAAATAAGTTTCCGAAAAACGGCTGACGCTGACCGTGAAAGACCCTGATATATGTATATAATACGATGATGATGTGCGGCCTCCCACATTTTCAATATTTGATTTTTAGCGCATTTTTGAAAAAATACGCTATTATATTCGTTATGACTGGCTGGCTGGCTGTCTGGCTGACTGGCTGGCTGGCTGGGTGTCCGACTGAGATCTCAGAAATTACAATAGCTAGACTTCAAATTTTCACGAAAAGCTTTCTGCTATATAGTTTAGATGTGCAGGCTCTAGCCTATTTTGAGTTAGATTAGGTTAGATTACTTGTGAGATCGATAACTTTAAACTTGTTTTTATAAATATGCAAACTGCATTTTAGGTATGATGATGTAACTCCACACTTTTCATCAGCGTCGAAATAAAAAATCCATCTGTTGTTAGTAAAGCTTGCATGTGACAAATGTTGTAATTGCTATAAAGTGGCTACTTCTGAAATATCTGGATGAAATTATAAAATATAACTATAGTACGATAAGCAATGTAACAAAGCTCTTCGTGATATAGTAGCGAT